AATGACCCGTGGAGGTGTTGATATACCGTAAAACAAAAGAAACAAACAATATACTGTGCAGTCGACAAAATCCGAAAAGAACAACGCCCATCCTAGAAACTAACAATATAAAATGGCGACAATTTATCCATTGCACCCTGTACATGCGTAAAGAAAAAATTAAATATTTAAAAATGTTCTTGTATTAATTCAAAATATTCATAATTTTAAAAATTTGTATTTTGATCGTTTTAATTTATATTTTATTTTCGTTACACGAAAAAAAAGACAGTTTATCGGCTTTATGTTGGACGGTCTCCACAAAGATGAAGAAGAAACTCGAGGTAATAGAGTTATCGTTCTACAGAAGGATGCTGAGGATATCATGGCGTGTGAGCAACGATGGAGTTCTGGAGGGGATACCAGAAAGTGGCAGCTGAAATTTCTGGGACACGTAATGAGAAAGGAGGGCTTGGAAAATCTAATACTCACAGGTCGAATAGAGCGAAAGAGATGCAAGAGAAAGCAACGCATGGCATACCTGGTAGGCTTAAGCAAATGGATGACAGAACGTGATCTGGGGGGAGGTGGCAGAGGGACGAAACTTATTGAGAGCTACAAGGGTAGAGGGAACTGGAGAGCCTTAATCGCCGACGTTTTGAAGTGACACGGCACATAAAAAGAATTTTCAACATTAAACAATCCTCTTAAACAAACTGACATGTTAATCCTTCGTAACAAGAACAAACAAACAAATTAAAGAGTGTCATTTTTTAACAGTATTTCATTTACGGAAGCACCAGTCATATATGGAAGAGTTACCCCCCCTTTAATTTTCTACGTTTGGATTTTTCGGTTATATTTCGAATTGAACATTCGATTTCACGATTTCAGTGAAGCTATTTATCAGACAAATTACATTTACCATCATGAACCGGATCCATTCTTAAGCGATCGCCTACAGCCTGAACCGTAAGAGAATCCAATCTGCTCAAGTATTTAATCCATAGCTGGGGGATTACATTATTTACATTATTCGGACTCTTATCCTCGTCTTCAATACCATATTCACAACATTTCAGCCGTTGTATGTGCCGGCCTTCTTCAGGAGTTTTGAATATCGAAACGAACCCTTTACTTCATCCATCGGGCTAGATTGTTCTAGTTCTAGGTTCCATGCCTCTTCCGGATGTATCGGTTATTTACCTTTAATTCAAGTCTCCTAGTTTTGTTTCACCACTGCTGTGGCCTGGGAATATGGCAATGAAGACAATGGTAACAGTGCGAATAATGTAAGTAATCATAATACCTCATGTCAGAGATCCAATCACCTGAAGAAGACTGGAGCGTACAACGGCCGAAACGTTGTGAATATGGCAATGAAGATGATGATAACATTCCGAATAATGTAAATAATGTAAGTAACCATAATACATCATCTCAGAGATATAGACAGATATTTAGAGAGACATAGACATAAAGGCCGGAGCGTACAACGGCCGAAATGTTGTGAATATTGCAATGAAGATGACAGTCCGAATAACAGATGAATATTGCAATGAGGATAACAGTCCGAAAACAAATGAATATTGCAATGAGGATAACAGTCCGAATAATGTAAATAATGCAAGCAATCATAATACCTCATCTCAGAGATATAGACAGATATATAGAGAGACATAGACATAAAGGCCGGAGTGTACAACGGCCGAAACGTTGTGAATATGGCAATGAAGATGAGAATAACAGTACGAATAATGTAAATAATGCAAGTAATCATAATACCTCATCTCAGGGATATAGACAGATATATAGAGAGACATAGACATTAAGGCCGGAGCGTACAACGTTGTGAATATCACTGGTCTACCAACCATTTACACAGGCTCGTTATGTATGTTTTCATTTGTCCCTCTTGTTTTCAATATGTCTTGACAGTGTCAAAATTTCTAAGCCGTCTTTTCTCATTGACGGTATTTAAAAGAAGAAAGTTTTGAGAGAACCATTCCACTATTGTTTTCCAACAAATCGTCGCAGGTCACTTATATATGATATTAAATAAAGGAAGATGTAGAGAGCCATAACTGCTTACGTTCTGAACAGACTTAGCATATGAAAAACCACTTTCATTTTTTTATACAAGGCCCAAGGGCCACTGAAGGTAGAGGTATACTGAATGATGTTGTATAAGGAATAAGATTAAAAGAAAAAGAACATTTTATGAGGATATGTGGGAAAGACAACGGTTAATTCTAGATTGATGTGGTTACGATTGTAGTGATCGGGAAAGCATCCCCTTGGGAGATGGTTCCGCAAAGTAGTGGCTCGAGTAGAATTTGTTTCTTACTAATCGTATACGAAAGAAATGAGGATGATTTGGCTCTGTGTAGATATCATGTGAGTTTTGCATATATATATATATATATATATATATATATATATATATATATATATATATATGTATATATATAGCATAGGGCGGCTAGCCAATCTCTATTGCAGGCGCTTGCTCAGGCGCATTTGTGTTTATTTAACACCTACAAAGAGCCCACCTGTGGTTTATACTGCAACTATGCTAAGCAGACCTTAGTTACAGTTTCTGGGAAAGAGCGTGTTATCTAGCGTGATCAATAATTTGAGCAAGGCCAGCACATTCAAACCCTCGGTCACAATGACTTGTGACTTCGTGCTAGCAGAGCTATCGACGGCCCCCAAGAGTTTCGTCTATACAATTTCACTCACAAATCTTGGGTCAGGCCGTGGTGTGGTTTTCAGGCACTTTCAAAAGGTGCCGCACGCTGGAATCGACTCTTCCAGACCAATAACATATGGAATTTTCCTTCCTGACAAATTCAAATGCTGAGTTTCAAACCGGGTCTCAGAGTCAGGGCCACATGCCCATATCATGTGAGGGTTAGAGTTGGTGAAACTAACCAATGTAGCTGACCTGAACATTTTCCATAAAAATAGCGATACTGCTGCCATGTAGGGTTTGCTGCCCACCTCTGTTCATCTGGAGGTTCTCAACAAAGTCCAAAGACGGATATGCAATGTGATAGGTACTGACCTGGCATCTCGACTCCAGTCACTTTCTCACAGACGTGATGTGGCTTCCCTCAGTCTTTTCTAAAAACATTTTCAAATATATTTAAAAAATATAGATCTGGTTTGTACGCGATGATATACATATATATGTCCGGTTTGATCGGCTGATTTTTTACGGTTTATCAATCTTTTGTGGGTTTATTTAAAGTCGAAACATATTTTGGGAATAATAAGTAAGAATTATTCTTTTTTTTTTGTTTTTGCGAATTAATATTTCATTAACAGTTTTTGAGAGATAACGATTTTTCCAGATACAACTATTTAGCCAAAACGTAATTACTCTCATTTACCCACCATAGAGAAACCTCTCTGCCGCCTAAGAGCATGGTTGATACTCAGCTCCACGGGAGCGTCTTCTGCGCCTTCTTGGTCTCACGTTTTCCACTGAACTGATGTGGAACAACTACATTGAATCAATAGCTTCATCTACCAAAAGGAAAGTTGGTTCTCTGTGTCGCGCCAGAAGGTTTCTCTCGCCTAAGTACATCCTTCAAATCTACAAATCTACCATTCCGATTTGCATTGAATACTGTTGCCAAATCCTAAGAAGAATATGCAATGTGATAGGTCCTGATCTGGCATCTCATCTACAGTCACTTTCTCACAGACGTGATGTGGCTTCCTTCTGTCTTTTCTACAAATAATTTCATGGCAACTGTTCTGACGAGATACTTTCACTGGTACCCCAACTGCATGAATTTAAGCCCGCTACAAGGTTGGCATCTCGGTTTCGCCCTTTTAATGTCGAAACAGTTAAATGTAACCGCTCCTCTACTCCAACAGCTTCTTCACTCGCACTTTCCGACAGTGAAACTCCCTTCCTCTTACTTGCTTCCCTGGTAGCTATAATATTCAAGAATTTAAATATAATGTCAATCGACATCTTCTGATGGATTGATCTTGATCGCTGTCCTTCTCTTTATCCTTTCCTCAAACACTGACTTTACTTTTACTTTCACTCTCTGTAACCAATTGTGTGCTTGTGGCACTTCCGCCTTTAAAAAAAATGTGCGAGAGGCTTGCAACGTATCGTTTGTGTGTAAAGTGGTTGTAGGGTAGAAAATAACTCATCACCCATAAGGCCGCGTAAACGCTTTTGGACTTGATAGACTGGAAAGTGAACACTGAGTAGCTTCAGATGATATATGAGAGCAGTACTCTATTTTCGACTTGATTTGGCTCTTGTAAAAGCATATACACAATTTTTCCAATTGATCTTCATAGATGTATCTTCCAAATAGACATTTTTGTATATTATTTGGAAGATGGGTAAATTATTTTTGATTTATCGTCAAACACCATTTTCTTGATTATATTACCAAAGATAATATATATATATATATATATATACAAACTCGCTTATTGACAAATACGGTAAATGCAAAAAAGAAATGATAAAAAACTGAAAACACAATACATACTCATTTTTTCTCTTTTCCTCTCTTGCTATATTTATCGTTTCCACTTTTGGCGGCAGCTCTTTGAACGCTTTCAAAAAACATTCCTCCGACCAGAATCCCAATAACGAAAGCTTGTGTCTGAGGAATTCGTTCTTTAGGTACAATGCAACATGAAAAGGCAACGATGCATTCTTGGGGTCTGCCTTCAAGGAGAAGCTTCTTAACGAAGGGATAAAAATGCGTTTTTCTGAAATTGACGGCGAAAAATCAGTAAGATATGCCCACGGCAGCTGTTTTGGTATCTGTCTTGGTTGTATTTTTCATAGCAGGACGACAGGAAAGAGATAAACGGAAACAAAACAAAAAAAAAAAAAAAAACAACAACAAAACAACAACAACAAAACTAACAAAAAAAAAAGAGGACAAAAAAGACTGGTTCTTTTCTTCCTTTTCCATTCGTCTCCTTCTTCTCGAACTCCCATCGGAAAATGTCCAAGACAGATACGAGAACAGGAATTAAAATTCTTGAATACGAAAGAGAAGAGAGAGGACAAGGAGTGGAGGAGAGAAAGAGAAAAAAGCGAGAGGTGCGAATGAGTGAAAGAGAGGAAAAAGTGTGAGGAGGGAATGAGTGAAAGAGAGAAAAAAGTGTGAGGAGGGAATGAGTGAAAGGGAGAAAAAGGCGTGAGGAGGGAATGAGTGAAAGAGAGGAAAAAGCGTGAGGAGGGAATGGGTGAGAGAGAGAAAAAGGCGTGAGGAGGGAATGAGTGAAAAAGAGGAAAAAGCATAAGGAGGGAATGAGTGAAAGAAAGAAAAAAGCGCGAGAAGGGAATGGTTGAAAGAGAGGAAAAAGCGTAAGGAGGGAATGAGTGAAAGAGAGAAAAAGGCGTGAGGAGGGAATGAGTGAAAAAGAGGAAAAAGCGTAAGGAGGGAATGAGTGAAAGAGAGAAAAATGCGTGAGGAGGGAATAAGTGAAAGAGAGAAAAAAGCGTGAGGGGGGAATGGTTGAAAGAGAGAAAAGGCGTGAGGAGGGAATGAGTGAAAGAGAGAAAAAAGCGTGAGGAGGGAATGGGTGAAAGAGAGAAAAGGCGTGAGGAGGGAATGAGTGAAAGAGAGAAAAATGCTTGAGGAGGGAATGAGTGAAAGAGGGGGAAAAGCGTGAGGAGGTAATGAGTGAAAGAGAGGAAAAAAGCGTGAAAAGAGGACAAGGTGGAGGAGAAATGAGAAAAAAAAGGAGAGGTGAAACTGAAAGAGAAAAAAAGTGTGAGGAGGGAATGGGAAAGAGAGAAAAAAGTGTGAGGAGGGAATGAGTGAAATGGAGAAAAAGGCGTGAGGAGGGAATGAGTGAAAGAGAGGAAAAAGCGTGAGGAGGGAATGGGTGAGAGAGAGAAAAAGGCGTGAGGAGGGAATGAGTGAAAAAAAAAGGAAAAAGCATAAGGAGGGAATGAGTGAAAGAAAAAGAAAAAAAAAAGCGCGAGAAGGAATGGTTGAAAGAGAGGAAAAAAGCGTAAGGAGGGAATGAGGAAAGAGAGAAAAAAGGCGTGAGGAGGAATGAGTGAAAAAGAGGAAAAAAAGCGTAAGGAGGGGAATGAGTAAAAGAGAAAATGCGTGAGGAGGGAATAAGTGAAAGAGAGAAAAAAAAGCGTGAGGGGGGAATGGTTGAAAGAGAAAAAAGCGTGAGGAGGAATGAGTGAAAGAGAAAAAAAAAAGCGTGAGGAGGGAATGGGTGAAAGAGAGAAAAAGGCGTGAGGAGGAATGAGTGAAAGAGAGAAAAAATGCTTGAGGAGGGAATGAGTGAAAGAGGGGGAAAAGCGTGAGGAGGTAATGAGTGAAAGAGAGGAAAAAAGTGTGAGGAGGGAATGAGGAAAGAGAGAAAAGGCGTGAAAAGGAATGGGTGAGAGAAAAGGCTTGGAGGAGGAATGAGGGAAAAAAGGGAAAAAGGCGTGAGGAGGAATGAGTGAAAGAGAGAAAAAAAAAGCGTGAGGAGGGAATGGGTGAGAGAGAAAAAAAGGCGTGAGGAGGGAATGAGTGAAAGAGAAAAAAGCGTGAGGAGGGAATGAGGAAAGAGGGAAAAAAAGCGTGAGGAGGGAATGGGTGAAAGAGAGGAAAAAAGCGTGAGGAGGAATGAGTGAAAGAGGGAAAAGGCGTGAGGAGGGAATGAGTGAAAAGAGGAAAAAGCGTAAGGAGGGAATGAGTGAAAGAGAGAAAAAAAAAGCGTGGGAGGGAATGGGTGAAAGAGAGAAAAAAGCGTGAGGGAGGGAATGAGTGAAATGGAGAAAAAATGCGTGAGGAGGAATGATGAGTGAAAGAGAGAGAAAAGCGTGAGAAGGAATGGGTGAGAGAGAAAATGCGTGAGGAGGGAATGAGTGAAAGAGAGAAAAATGCGTGAGGAGGGAATGAGTGAAAGAGGGGAAAAAGCGTGAGGAGGGAATGAGTGAAAGAGAGAAAAAGGCGTGAGGAGGGAATTAGTGAAAAAGAGGAAAAAGCGTAAGGAGGGAATGAGTGAAAGAGAGAAAAATGCGTGAGGAGGGAATGAGTGAAATAGGGGGAAAATCGTGAGGAGGTAATGAGTGAAAGAGAGGAAAAAGCGTGAGGAGGGAATGAGTGAAAGAGAGAAAAAGGCGTGAGGAGGGAATGGGTGAGAGAGAAAAGGCGTGAGGAGGGAATAAGTGAAAAGAGGAAAAAAAGCGTGAGAAGGGAATGGGTGAGAGAGAGAGAAAAAAAGCGTGAGGGAGGGAATGAGTGAAAGAGAAAAATGCGTGAGGAGAATGAGTGAAAAAAAAAAAAAGCGTGAGGGGAATGAGTGAAAGAGAGAAAAATGCGTGAGGAGGGAATGAGTGAAAAAGAGGAAAAAGCGTAAGGAGGGAATGAGTGAAAGAGAGAAAAATGCGTGAGGAGGGAATAAGTGAAAGAGGGAAAAAAAACGTGAGGAGGTAATGAGTGAAAGAGAGGAAAAGGCGTGAGGAGGGGAATGGGTGAGAGGGGAAAAGCGTGAGGAGGAATGGGTGAAATGGAGAAAAAGGCGTGAGGAGGGAATGATGGAAAGTGAGAAAAAAAAGCGTGAGGAGGGGAATGGGTGAAAGAGAGAAAAATGAGGAGGGAATGAGTGAAAGAGAAAAAAAGCGTGAGGGGGGAATGAGTGAAAAGAGGGGAAAAAAAAGTGAGGAGGAATGAGTGAAAGAGAGAAAAAGGCGTGAGGAGGGAATGAGTGAAAAAGAGGAAAAAAAGCGTGAGGAGGGAATGGGTGAAAGAGAGAAAAAAGCGTGAGGAGGGAATGGGTGAAAGAGAGAAAAAAGCGTGAGGAGGGAATGAGTGAAAGTGAGAAAAAAAAAATGAGGGGGAATGGGTTAAAGAGAGGAAAAAAAAAAAAAAGGAGGAATGAGTGAAAAGAGAAAAAAAAGCGTGAGGGGGAATGGGTGAAAAGAGAAAAAAAGCGTGAGGAGGGAATGAGTGAAAGTGAGAAAAAGGCGTGAGGAGGGAATGAGTGAAAGAGAGAAAATGGCGTGAGGAGGGAATGAGTGAAAAAGAGGAAAAAGCATAAGGAGGGAATGAGTGAAAGAGAGAAAAATGCGTGAGGAGGGAATGAGTGAAAGAGATTAAAAAGCGTGAGGAGGGAATGAGTGAAAGAGAGAAAAAAGAGTGAGGAGGGAATGAGTGAAAGAGAGAAAAAAGTGTGAGGAGGGAATGAGTGAAAAGGAGAAAAAGGCGTGAGGAGGGAAAGAGTGAAAGAGAGAAAAATGCTTGAGGAGGGAAGGAGTGAAAGAGGGGGAAAAGCGTGAGGAGGTAATGAGTGAAAGAGAGGAAAAAGCGTGAGGAGGGAATGAGTGAAAGAGAGAAAAAGGCGTGAGGAGGGAATGGGTGAGAGAGAAAAGGCGTGAGGAGGGAATGAGTGAAATGGAGAAAAAGGCGTGAGGAGGGAATGAGTGAAAGAGAGAAAAAAGCGTGAGGAGGGAATGGGTGAGAGAGAAAATGGCGTGAGGAGGGAATGAGTGAAAGAGAGAAAAATGCGTGAGGAGGGAATGATGAAAGAGGGAAAAAAGAGTGAGAGGGGAATGAGTGAAAGAGAGGAAAAAGGCGTGAGGAGGAATGAGTGAAAGAGAGGAAAAAGGCGTGAGGGAGGAATGAGAGAAAAGAGGAAAAAAAGCGTAAGGAAAGAATGAGTGAAAGAGAAAAAAAAAAGCGTGAGGAGGAATGGGTGAAAGAGGAAAAAGCGTAAGGAGGGAATGAGTGAAATGGAGAAAAAGGTGAGGAGGGAATGAGTGAAAGAGAGAAAAAAGCGTGAGGAGGGAATGGTTAAGTGAGAGAAAAAAAAAAAAGCGTGAGGGGAATGAGTGAAAAGAGAAAAAGATGGCGTGAGGAGGGAATGAGTGAAAAGAGGAAAAAAAAAATGCGTGAGGGAGGGAATGGGTGAAAAAGAGAGAAAAAAAAAAGCGTGAGGGAGGGAATTAGTGAAAAAGAGGAAAAAAAGCGTAAGGAGGGAATGAGGAAAGAGAGAAAAAAAATGCGTGAGGGAGGAATGAGTGAAAAGGAGGAAAATCGTGAGGAGGAATGAGTGAAAGAGAGGAAAATGTTGAGGAGGAATGAGTGAAAGAGAGAAAAAAAGCGTGAGGAGGGAATGAGAGAGAAAGAGAAAAAAGGAAATAGTGAGGAGGGAATGAGTGAAAGAGAGAAAAAAAAGCGTGAGAAGGGAATGGGTGAAATGGAGAAAAGGCGTGAGGAGGAATGAGTGAAAGAGAAAAAAAAATACGTGAGGAGGAATGAGTGAAAGAGGGGAAAAGCGTGAGGAGGAATGAGCGAAAGAGAGGAAAATGCGTGAGGAGGGAATGAGTGAAAAGAGGAAAAAAGCGTAAGGAGGGAATGAGTGAAAGAGAGAAAAAATGCGGAGGAGGAATGAGTGAAAGAGGGGGAAAAAGCGTGAGGAGGGAATGAGTGAAAGAAAAAAAAAAGCGTGAAGGAGGAATGAGTGAAAGAGAGAAAAAAGGCGTGAGGAGGGAATGGGTGAGAGAGAAAAGGCGTGAGGAGGGAATGAGTGAAATGGAGAAAAAAAGCGTGAGGAGGTAATGATTGAAAGTGAGGAAAAAAGCGTGAGAAGGGAATGGGTGAGAGAGAAAAAATGCGTGAGGAGGGAATGAGTGAAAAAAGGGAAAAAAGCGTGAGGAGGAATGAGTGAAGAGAGAAAAAAAGACGTGAGGAGGGAATGAGTGAAAAAGAGGAAAAGCGTAAGGAGGGGAATGAGTGAAAGAGAGAAAATGCGTGAGGAGGAATGGGTGAAACAGAGGAAAAAAGCGTGAGGAGGGAATGAGTGAAAGGAGAAAAAAAGCGTGAGGGGGAATGGGTGAAAAGAGAGGAAAAAAAAAGCGTAAGGAGGAATGAGTGAAAGAGAGAAAAAAAAGAAAGCGTGAAGGGGGAATGGTGAAAGAGAGAAAAAAGCGTTAGGAGGAATGAGTGAAAGTAGAGAAAAAAAGGCGTGAGGAGGGAATGAAAGAGAGAAAAAAAGGCGTGAGGAGGAATGAGTGAAAAAGAGGAAAAATCATAAGGAGGGAATGAGTGAAAGAGAGAAAAAAGAGTAAGGAGGGAATGAGTGAAAGAGAGAAAAAAGTGTGAGGAGGGAATGAGTGAAAAGGAGAAAAAGGCGTGAGGAGGGAATGGGTGAAAGTGAGGAAAAGCGTGAGGAGGTAATGAGTGAAAGAGAGAAAAAAGCGTGAGGAGGGAATGGGTGAAAGAGAGGAAAAAGCGTGAGGAGGGAATGGGTTAAAGAGAGGAAAAGCGTGATAGGGAATGAGTGAAAGAGATGAAAAAGCGTGAGGAGGGAATGGGTGAAAGAGAGGAAAAATCGTGTGGAGGGAATGAGTGAAAGAGAGAAAAAGGGTGAGGAGGGAATGAGTGAAAGAGAGAAAAATGGTGAGGATGGAATGAGTGAGAGAGGAAAATCGTTAAGAGGGAAAGATATATGTATTATAATCAAAAGAAAGAACAGTACGATTTACATTCCGGTGTTTATAATTTTACAAAAAAGTGCTCAATGTAAATTTACAGAGCATAAATATTATGGATTAACTGATTTAAAATATGGTTTGTTCGCTACACAGGACTTACCATGTGTCAAAAACCGAAGCTAAAAAATCAAATTTAATTATATAATAATATTATATTATATAATTAAATTTAAAGCATTAGTTCTGTTTCATCTACAAGCGAATTTTGGAATAACTTATTTTTAAATTTAATGAGTTTTAGACGCACATACATTTCATAATTTTTTGTTTTCAAGGATACAGAGAAATCCAATCATTTAGACAGGGACGGTAGCTTGTTCATTTTATTAACTATTATTGTATCAATTATGAGTTACGTTCGAAAAGTCTAAGGTAGGTTTAAAAAGCGTATTTTCAGGAATTTGACATATATATATATATATATATATATATATATGTGTGTATAAACGAATTTGACATATATATATATGTATATATATATATGTATATATATATATATATATATATATATATATATATATAAAAGGCAGCAATCCTTCGTTTATGCATGTTTCATTAAAAAACGACAGACAAGGTGGAATGAGTTAAAGAGAAAAATTTTTCTTGTGTTCGAACAAGAGGAAAAACAACGGTGTGGAAGAACTGTCCAAATGTTTTTATATTTCCGAGCGCTTTCGGCTATACCTTTAGCCATTATCAAGAGATGAATCGATTTTTTAGCTTAAATGAGTGTGTGGATTATGTATATGTCTTAGTGGATATTTTAATTTCCGAATACGGTTAGTATATATATATATATATATATATATATATATACATGTGTGTGTGTGTGTGTGTGAGAGAGAGAGAGAGAGAGAGAGAGTGATATATTTATATATCAACAAATATGGTGAAAAATGGTGGTCGATCATGTTCATGACATAAAAATGCTACACTGATCAATGGAGAAAACAGTTCATTACGACGTAAATATCTAAACAGTGCCTTGATCGCAAGGTAATCTACAGTAAATTTACGTTGCGGGCTCTTACAACCTCTCATAATTTTCGCAGATCTTCTATTATCACAGTGGGGGACGTCTACTAACAAAAGTGATGGAAATAAAAAGAAAATGAATCTCATTAAATTCGGCTAGATTTCAAAAAAAGAATGACTTAAAATTTACCAGCATTCCTTGTTCGTGCGCATGGATAGTTTTAAAATCCACAAAATATCACATTTTCACCTATATATATATACAGAGAGATCCATGTACGTGTGCATATATATGTGTGTGTATGTGTATATAGTATATGTGTGTGTATATATAGTATATGTTTGTATATAACATATGTGTGTATATTTATATGCATATAATATGTGTATGGAAGCAATATGTGGTGTATATATATAATGTACATATAAATGTAATGTCTCTCGCTATATAATATATATATATATATATATATATATATATAACGTGTGTGCATATCTAACAAGTGCAAATGAGTACATAATATGTGTATACTATGTGTATATATATATCAATATGGGTTATGTTCGATATACATGTGTATATATGTGTATATATAAGTATATATGTATGTATGTTTATATATAATATATATATATATATATATGTATATATATATATATATGTGTGTGTATATATATGTTTATATATATATGTGTATATATTATGTGTATATATATAGATGTATATATATATATAATATATGAGTCTGTATATATGTATATATAACATGTTTCATATATATATATATAAGTGGGGAATATATATATATTTATATGCATATATATGTGTATACATATGTACTTTGTATATATATGTGCGTATGTATATATGATATGAGAGTATATATATAATATATATGTCTATATGTAATATGTGTATATATATAATATGTGTATAATGTATATATATATATATATATATATTTATCTATATATATAATATGTATATATATATATGTGTGTGTGTGTGTGTTATTTTGTTTTGTGTACGGTTAAAATTTGATAAATAAAACGTTATAATTAAATAGATTTCTTTTATATATTTTGTGTTCAAAGTGTGTGAGACTCAAAAACGAAATGAATGAATGAACGAATGAAAGAATGTTATGAATGAATGAATGAATGAATGGATGAAATGAAATGAATGAAAGAATGAAATGAGTGGAATGAATGAAATGAATGAATGAAATGAAAGAATGAAAAGAATCTATGAAATGAATTGAAAGAATGAATGAAAGAATGAATGAAAGAATGAATGAAATGAAATGAATGGAATGAAATGAGGAATGAATGAAAATGAATGAATGAAATCTAAAATGAAAAGAATGAATGAAATGAATGAAAGAATGAATGAAAGAAACAGAATGAATGAATGAATGAAATGAAATGAATGAAAGAATGAAATGAAATGAATGAAATGAATGAATGAAATGAAAGAATGAAAAGAATGGGAATGAAATGAATGAAAGAATGAATGAAAGAGAATGAATGAATGAATGAATGGATGAAATGAAATGAATGAAAGAATGAAATGAATGAATGAATGAATGAATGAATGAAATGAAATGAAAGAATATTGAATGAGAATGAATGAAAGAATGAATGAAAGAATGAATGAATGAAATGAATGAATGAAATGAAATGAATGAAAGAATGAAATGAAATGAATGAAATGAATGAAAAATGAAAGAATATAAAAGAATGAATGAAATGAATGAAAGAAATAATGAAAAATGAATGAATGAATGAATGAATGAAAATGAAATGAATGAATTTTTGAAATGAATTTGAATGAATGAATGAAAATGAATGAAATGAAAAAATGAATGAAAGAATGAATGAAGAATGGATGAATGAAAATGAATGAAAGAATGAAAACCTATAATGAATGAATGAATGAATGAAATGAAAGAATGAAATGAATATAAAATGAAAGAATGAATGAAAGAATGAATGAACCGCTCATGAATGGAAAGAATGAAATGAATGAACGAATGAAATAGAATGAATAAATCTTATCTGAAATGAAAGAATGAAAGAATGAATGAAATGAAATATAAATATGAATGAAAAATGAATGAATGAATGAATGGATGAAATAGATTGAATGAAAGAATGAAATGAGTGAATGTGAAATGAATGAATGAAATTTTGAATAAATTTTAAGAATGAATGAAATGAATGAATGAATGAAATGAAATAATGAATAATGAATGAATGAATGAAATGAAATGAATGAACAGAATGAAATGAATTAATGAATGAAATGAATAAAATCGAAATGAAAGAATGAAAAGAATGAATGAAATGAATGAAAGAATGAATGAAAGAATGAATGTAATGAATGAAATGAAATGAATGAAAGAATGAAATAAGTGAATGAATGAAATGAATGAATGAAATGAAAGAAAAAAGAATGAATGAAATGAATGAAAGAATGAATGAAAGAATGAATGAATGAATGGATGAAATGAAATGAATGAAAGAATGAAATGAGTGAATGAATGAAATGAATGAATGAAATGAAAAGAATGAAAGAATGAATGAAATGAATGAAAGAATGAATGAAAGAATGAATGAATGAATGAATGGATGAAATGAAATGAATGAAAGAATGAAATGAGTGAATGAATGAAATGAATGAATGAAATGAAAGAATGAAAAGAATGAATGAAATGAATGAAAGAATGAATGAAAGAATGAATGAATGAATGAATGGATGAAATGAAATGAATGAAAGAATGAAATGAGTGAATGAATGAAATGAATGACTGAAATGAAAGAATGAAAAGAATGAATGAAATGAATGAAAGAATGAATGAAAGAATGAATGAATGAATGAATGGATGAAATGAAATGAATGAAAGAATGAAATGAGTGAATGAATGAATGAAATGAAAGAATGAAAAGAATGAATGAAAGAATGAATGAATGAATGGATGAAATGAAATGAATGAAAGAATGAAATGAGTGAATGAATGAAATGAATGAATGAAATGAAAGAATGAAAAGAATGAATGAAATGAATGAAAGAATGAATGAAAGAATGAATGAATGAATGGATGAAATTAAATGAATGAAAGAATGAAATGAGTGAATGAATGAAATGAATGACTGAAATGAAAGAATGAAAAGAATGAATGAAATGAATGAAAGAATGAATGAAAGAATGAATGAATGAATGAATGAATGGATGAAATGAAATGAATGAAAGAATGAAATGAGTGAATGAATGAAATGAATGAATGAAATGAAAGAATGAAAAGAATGAATGAAATGAATGAAAGAATGAATGAAAGAATGAAAGAATGAATGGTGAAGTCAAATCCATTTTCAATGAAATGTATTTTCGTGAAACGTTTCAAATTTATATTCTTCGTCGTGATTTTTGTATCCTATTTTTTAAAAAATAAACATATTATCGTCATGACATTGACTATCTTTGTATCTGATTTCACACTTTCGGCCTTGTGCCATATCTAGACTCTACTCTTAGAAAACCACTATATACATACATGATTAACAAATTCTATTAAGAAATTGTTTTTTATCCTTCGACGACAAGCAAGGCGATAAAGCCACTAAGACGCAAAGGGTTACTGGGAAAGAAAGAAATTGAGAAAACTTTATTGAGTAGAAAGGACAATAAAAGATTGATTGAATTAAATGTATCGATGGCTTATCAACTCATTGTGGTTTCTTTAAATACCCCCACAAATATTCGTATTGTAAGTTTCTTACAGTAGTCGGTGTTTCTAAGCAGTCTCCTATCTAAGTACTGACCGGCTGAGAGAATAAAAGAACAGATTACCAAAAGAAACAACATGACGTGGCAATTTAAATAATTTTTGGTTTTAAATAATGTGAAAAGGTTGATAAGCCGTAAAAATAAAGTAATCAGACAAGCTAACTAATGTTGAAATATATAATAAAAATAGACAGCCAAAGCAATTCTTAACAATTTCTATCTTACAACATACACATACGCGCGCACAAAACACAATAAACACACACACACTATATATATATATATATATATATATATATATATATATATATATATATATATATATATATATATATATATATATACCGTAATTCTCCATGTATAATACGCCTTTATCCATAACACGCACAACTAAAATTGTGCTGAAAGTGTGGGAAAATACTTCGACTCGCGTATAATATGCACCTCTTGCTTGGTAATTAAACACAATATATTGTACATCTACAATTTCTTTAAGGCCAGCGTTTCCTATTCTTATTGAAGCTGTAATTGAAGATATTTATCAAAGTTTGATTTGTACATGAACGCACAACTGTAAAAAATTTAAAATCAAACTCAGCGTTGCTACTGCGCGCTCCAAAAACAATAACTCATTTCCAATAGCATTTTCGGATACAACAATACATATATTTTCGTTGTCCTCTTATTACTAAGAGAAAAAAACAAGAACAACATCTATTCTATACCTGAAGATGTCTGTAGGAACAGACGAAAGTTTGTAGTAAAAATAAGAACTAATACGGCAGAAATTTATAGAAACAAGGATCATTTCATTCATAACGTATTCGGAGGTTTTGTATTATTTGAATTGTTTGCGACGATGAATTTCTCGCCAATTAAATCATTAACCTTTGCATTTGTTTTTTGTGTGAATAATTCATGAATATATATATATATATATATATATATATATATATACTACTGATCAAGAGATTTGGACCACCCAGAATTGTTATACAAAAAGAAAATGCACCCGACTATTGTTGTGTAACTTTATTATTTTCTCAAGTTTGAATTCCAATCGAATCCATTATATTCACTTACGTTCTAATACCCTTGGGAAAGGTTTGAATCTGCTTCTTCTCTCCTTAGCCATGGGTAAATTGCAGGACAGACTGTGTTCTATAGCCTTGGATGGCAACTGGTCTAAGAGAATGACAACTCTTAATTCAAAACCTGCAGAGGGTCGTTTGGGGATCTTCGGCCCTTTAAAACGTGTGGTTGGTTCTGCACAAAGCCTTCACCACTAAAATCAAATCATATGTGCAGGTGTCTGGCTGTCGGTTTCGAGGAACTGACTTGACTGACCATCATACATCATAAAAGAGTCCCCGGTAGGCGCGGATTAACAGCTCGCGTAGATCAACGACGGGAGAGTCCACATATATATATATATATATATATATATATATATGTGTGTGTGTGTGTGTCTGTATTTCTGAGATGAGGTTTTATGTACATTATTTACATTATTCGGACTATTGTCCTCATCTTTGTCGCCATATGTCGAACTGAACCCTTTATTTCGCTCACCTGGGTAGACTGTTCTAGTTCCATGTGCCATGTTTAATGGATGTCAGTTATCAGTTATCTCCTGTTAACTTTCCCTCTGAAAGTTCTCCACTGCCTTAACCGGGTATTGAACTCATACTCTTTAGGTTCTGTCACTGGATCTAACCAACGCCTTTATCCACTGTGCCATGTGTCATTGAGGAAATCAACAGGAGATAACTGATAACTGACATCCAGAACAGTCTACCCACTGTGAGCGAAATAAAGGATTCAATTCGACATTCCAACCACCTGAAGAAGTCCGGAGCGTACAACGGCCGAAACGTTGTAATAAATATGGCGACAAGGATGAGGACAATAGTCCGAATATTGTAAATAATATATGTATATATATATATGTATATATATGCTCAAATGAGAAAAAGAACAGATGCAGTAAAAATTCACTGTCCATGCATTCGTTATGAAAGTTTTTTGTAGCGATTTCAAAACGTTATAATTTTTACATTTGAATCTTAATCACGATCAATCCATCAGACCTACAAATTCAAAAATATTTTTTGAATTTTTTAATTCTCCAATGTTGAGATCGTGATTTTGATTCCAATGTAAAAATTAAACTGACTGCCCAATTATTAGTGTCTATATATATATATATATATATATATATATATATATATATATAGAAAAAATTTCAAATTAAAAATTATAATGTTTTATTTTATGAAAATATTTATTTATTTATATATATATTTGATATTTCAAATTGTTCAATTTTTCATCAAAATAACTGTTTGTTACAAATAAATTAAATAAATAAAACAAACAAATTAAAATTACTGTAAATTTAATTTATTTGTAACAAACAGTTATTTCTGATGAAAAATTGAGGACAATTTGAAATATCAAATATATATAAATAAATAAATACTTTTCATAAAATAAAACATTATAATTTTTAATTTGAAACTTTTTGATATATACATATCAAGAAAGTATACCATCTTTCTCATTATGCTATATATATATATATATATATATATACGAGTATAGGATTGGTGTATACAGAATAAATTCGAATAACCAACAAATACTATTCTTAAAGGAGTGCTCAATACAGAGTAGAGAAAATATAATTACTTATTCGAAAATTATAACATAAAAATCACTACAAAAATAGCCATTTTGTTTCTACACTTCTGGTGTCATATCAAGTGATAGTGTTGAATCAATTCAGTTGATTCTCTTTTAATTTTCATTCTTTTTTTTTTTTTTTTTTACATATTTTCCCCTGAATTAATTTCCAGTTTTCTTCATTTTTTGATACCCGATCTTACTCTTTGGCATGGTATATGCTGTTCCTTCCTTACTGCCTTCTTTCTTTCTTTCTTTCTTTATATTCTCCTTCTTTCTTTCTTTTTTTCTTTTTTCTTTATATTCTCCTTCTTTCTTTCTTTCTTTCTTTTTTCTTTATATTCTCCTTCTTTCTTTCTTTTTTCTTTATATTCTCCTTCTTTCTTTCTTTCTTTCTTTTTTCTTTATATTCTCCTTCTTTCTTTCTTTCTTTCTTTTTTCTTTATATTCTCCTTCTTTCTTTCTTTTTTCTTTATATTCTCCTTCTTTCTTTCTTTCTTTCTTTTTTCTTTATATTCTCCTTCTTTCTTTCTTTTTTCTTTATATTCTCCTTCTTTCTTTCTTTCTTTCTTTTTTCTTTATATTCTCCTTCTTTCTTTCTTTTTTCTTTTTTCTATTCTTTCTTTTTCTTTCTTTCTTTTCTTTTTTTTATATTCTCCTTCTTTCTTTCTTTCTTTTCTTTTTTTCTTTATATTCTCCTTCTTTCTTTCTTTTTTTCTTGTTTTGCTTCTTATTTTCTTCATTCTTTCTTTTTTCCTTCTTTTTTCGGGCATCCTTTTATACTTTCTTTTCCTTTGCTGTATTCTTTCTTTCGTTCTTTTTTCTTTCCTTTTTTCTTTTTTCTTTCTTGCTTTAATTCTTTCTATCGTTCCTTTTGATATTCTTTCTCTTTGTGCATTCGTTCTTTCATTCTTTCTAGTTCATTCTTTTTCTTTCTGCATTTCTCGTTTTTTTCTTTCTTTTTCTTTTTTGATTTTCGTTCTTTCTTTTATTTCATTTTATTTTTTTATAAATATCTTTTCCTTTATATTTGTAAACATGGAAAATTTTATTTTCATTTTCTTCCTTCATTTTTATCTTTTTATTTATTTTTCATTTTATTTTATTTTTCTTGTTATTCTCTTTTTCTTCTCACATATTTTTCACTGAATTAATTTCTTTTCTTTCATTTACGTATGTGTCTTTTTTTGAAACCAACTTAATTTTTTCTTTCTTTTCTCTTTCATTAAATTTTTCTTCCCTTTCCTCTTTCATTCTTTTTTCTTTTTTTCCGCTTTCATTCATTTTTCTTTCTTTTCCTCTTTTATTCATTTTTGCTTCTTTTCCCTTTTTCATTCATTTTTCTTTTTCTCTTTCATTCAATATATATTTCTCTTTCATTCTTTCTTTTCCTTTTTCATTCAATTTTTTCTTTTCCTCTTTAATTCAATTTTTCTTTCTTTTCTTCTTTTATTCATTTTTTCTTTCTTTTCCTTTCATTCATTTTTTATTTCCTTTTCCCTCTCTATATCTTTCATTCATTCTTTATTTTTCAAAGTTCTTTCTTCGTTTTCCCAGTTTCCTTCATTACTTTCTTTTCTAACACTCATTCCTTCTTCATTCGCTTTCTTTTATTCTTCCTATATTTTCCCTATTTCTTTCATTCATGTTTTCTTTCGTTATTTCTTTCTCCATTTTTTCTTACTTTCTCTTGCTTTCTTTCTTTTTCTTCTTCTTCTATTTATTCTTTTTCCTCTCACCCTCCAATCTCTCTTCTCGTTCTGAATGTCTTTTTTCCTCCTTTTGCTTCCATTTCCTTCTTTTATTCATTATTCTTCTTTCATCCCAAAATCTCATTCATATCGCTGACTTATTCACTTATTCCCCACTCCAGTCTCTGTTTTTGTATTTGTTGACTTCCTCAAATCTCCAGCGCCTCCATCGATCGCGTTTTCCCCCTGGCCACGGTTTAAGAGAGAAATTCCATCTTATCGATTACCCCTCAACACCCACCCTCGTGCCTCCCAAAATGAATCCTCTCAGCCGTGTCAGATGCTCTCGCTAAATAACGGTCGCATCCAGCAGGTGTTTCTTCTGATAGAGCAAGAAAGTAGATTTGACGTGACCGACTGTGGGCCGGTCCCTTTGTCATTACAGACCCGCCGAACAGAGCAATAACGAAGATAAAAAACGAAATAAGAGTTAAAAATAAAAAAAATAAAAAAAATGTATGTGTAAGTGAGTGGGGAGTGGACAAGATCTGAAGCAGCCGAGAGATATTGCGAAGATGAAAATAGAAAAATTACAAATCGTGTAAAATACCAAAAAATGTTGGCGAAAAATCTTTTTCATATTACATATGGACTGTAAAAATGGCTTCTGCTACAGCAGGAACTCTTTCCTTATTTTTACTTTCTTTTCTTTCTTTACTTTTTTTCCTTCCATTTTTCTTTCCTTCCATTTTTCTTTCTTATTTTCTTTTTTCTTTTCTTTTATTCTTTTCTTTCTTTCCAAATTTTCTTTCTTTCTTTTATTATTTCCTTTCATTCCTTCTTACTTTTTTTTTATTTCTTTCTCCTTTTTCGTTCTTCTCTTTCTAAATTTCTTTTAATGTTCTATTTTTTCGTAATTTTTTCTTTTCTTTTTTTTCCTTTCTTTTTTTATAACTTTCTTTTTTCTTTGCTTTTATTCTTGGAAAAATTACATATCGTGTAAAATAGCAAGAAAATATTGGCGAAAAATCTTTTTCATATTACACATGGACTGTTAAAACGGCTACCGTCTCTACAGGAACACTTTTGTTCTTTTTTCTTTCCTTTCTTTTTCTTTCCTTTCTTTTTCTTTCCTTTCTTTCTTTCTGCTTTGCTTTCTTTCTTTCTTTCCTTTCATTCCTTCTTTCTTTTTTGTTTCCTTTTTTTCTAACTTTCTCCTTTCATTTTTCTTTCTTTCTATCTTTTTTCTTTATTTTTATTTTTTTAATTTTCCTTCTTTCTTTCTTTCCTTTTCGTTTCTTTCCTTTCATTCTATCTTTCTTTTTTCATTCTTTCTCTCTTTTTCTTTCTTTTCTAACATTCTAGCATTTTCATTTCTAGCTTTCTTTTTATTTTTTCTTTCCTCTCTTTCTTTCTTTCTAACATTTTTTATTTCATTTTTCTTTCCTTTTTCTATTCTATTCTTTCTTTGTTTCTTTCTTTTATCTTTACTTATATTCTTTCCTTTCTTTCTTTCTTTCTTTCTATTTTCTTTCTTTTAACGTTCTTCCTTTTTTTCTTCTTAATTTTACTTCTTTTATTTTATCATTCCTTTTCTTTCTAACATTCTTTTTTCTTTCTTTTTACTTTTCTTTTTTCTTTCTTTTTTGATTCTAACATTTCTTTCTTTTACTTTTTCCTTCTTTTCTTTCTTTCTTTCTTTCTTTCTTTCTTTCTTTCTATCTTTTTTCTTCTCTTTTATTCTTTATTATCTTTCTTTCTTTCTAAATTTTCCTTCTTTCTTTCTTTCCTTTCCGTTTCTTTCCTTTCATTCTATCTTTCTTTTTCATTTCTTTCTCTCTTTTTCTTTTTCTAACATTCTTTTAAAGTTAAATTTTCTTTCTTTTCTTTTTCTTTCATTTCTAGTTTTCTTTTTATTTTTTCTTTCCTCTCTTTCTTTCTAACATTTTTTATTTTTATTTCATTTTTTCTTTCCTTTTTTCTATTCTTTTCTATCTTTGTTTCTTTCTTTTATCTTTACTTTTATTCTTTCCTTTCTTTCTATTTTCTTTCTTTTAACGTTCTTCCTTTTTTCTTCTTAATTTTCTTTCTTTTATTTTATCATTACTTTGCTTTCTAATATTCATTTTTCTTTCTTTTTATTTTTTTTCATTTTTCTTTCTTTTTTCATTCTAACATTTCTTTCTTTTTCTTTTTCCTTCTTTTCTTTCTTTCTTTCTTTCTTTCTTCCTTTCTTTATTTCTTTCTTCTATGTTTATTCTTGATTATTGATTTTTCAGTTATTCCATTCTTTCTTTCGTTCTGTACGCTTACACCCTCGGTCACAGATGGCTGGTACAGATAGATTATAAACTATTTCTTAGAAAGTGTAACCAAGGTACACTCAGCATATTTACTGCATAAAGCAAACATGGGCGCAATGGGTCTTGAACATGCACAAATATGCCTGAGCATGTCTCTGCGACAGGGAATGGCTATTCGCCCTCACAGAAATATGCGCTTGGAAATAATAGCCAGCCATTACATATACACATAAATATTTAAGCAGCGAATAAACTTTAAAACTTTTTTAATCGTATTTACTCCCAGGAAGGCACTAAAGCCACTAAGAAACATGAGCGTTAATGGGTGTAAATGTACTAGAAATATTAGTATTAGGTTTGAGAACAAGGAGAAGCGTAATCAGGGCGACAGTAGATAACAATAGACATTGTATTTAAATTTTGAAGATTAAAATTTGTAGGAAAGCAAGGAACTGGTAGGGAGTTCCACAAACGAGAAGAGCGAGACAAGAAACTGTTAGCATAGAACTTACGGTTTCATCTAGTCAATTCGGCAGTAAATTGATGAGACCTAACTGCCAATCTAGTACTGCGTTTAAATTCATCAAGTCACGGTGCAATAGTGAAGGGCGATATTTATTTGCATGATTATACAAAATGTGGCGCAAGGCAAAAGAAGGGGAATGTGGGGAAAAGGACGCTCTTAACGCTAAACTTAGCTCACCCACAAACACTGACCCAAATATGCAACGATATTCCTGACACCAAAACAACGCATTCTTACTTACCTTTCTTACTACATTCACCATAATGCCTCATCACACCTCAATACTCACTATTAAAGTCATAACCATACCCCATATGTACAATTCATTACAACAAATTTAAAAAATCTAACCATATGGATGATCTCATCCAAACAATATATATATATATATATATATATATATATATGTGTGTGTGTTGTTTAAAATCAGTCATATATATATATATATATATATATATATATGTGTGTGTGTGTGTGTGTGTGTGTGTGTGTGTGTATAATTAAGTAATTCATCGAGTCTAGAAGAAACCTCAACAGAATGCAGAAAGCACTGGACGGACGTTTCGTTCTATATTTGGGACTCATCAGCGGTGTGCATCCACTACTGAGAATTGAAACCCGGTAGTGGATGCACTAGGCCGTTCAGTGCTTTCTGCATCCTGTTTAGTTTTCTTCTAGACTCAATGAATTACTTAATTATATATATATATATATATATATATATATATATATATATATATATATATATATATATATGACGGATTTTAAATCAATATATTTTTTCGGATGAACAATAAATATATATATATATATATATATATATATATATATATATAACTCGATAAATTACTTAATTATGATTATCTCAAATAACCCTCCTAATAATTTCTATCGTTTGTATATACTTGCTTGAACCGGGTTTTAATGCTCTGGAAGGAGCAGCTTGGTGATAGTGTACTTTCGAACGTCATCGTTCATCATCAGGGTTATTTTTTTTTCTAGTTAATAATGAATTTGATATATACTTCTCAGAACTAACAAGAGATACACCCAGAAAATTATCCTCAATTAACCTCTTTTACAGAGGACAAATGCACAGACAATACAGTATGGATGAAAAGATCCTTTAGTCTATAATACAACATATGTTTTCTGTTAATTCTAACAAAGCCTTAAAACTTAACATATATTATAGTAAATTTAAAACCTCTAACCTGGTAATGAGAAATAACCCTTCTCCAGTTGCCGCAGTGGTTCATAAGACTAATGTTACGTATGAGTTTAAATGTACTTTGGAATAATGCTCTTCTAATCCACATACATACATTGGATTTACAACTACCCGGCTATCCAGACGATTAACTATGCATTTAAATAATTCTAATACCATTAAACAACATCTTATGTCACATACTGTTTCCCTTCCGCATACTGAGATTCGTAAAATCCTTATAGACAATCCTAAAATTATTGATCAACATACAGACATTAAACGCCTTAAAATTTTAAAGGCACTACTTATTAGAAGCAATAGACCTCTTATTAATCGCACAGCTTCTGGAAACATCCTTCAGTGTCTATAATATGTTTCTAAGTAATTAGATAAATCGCATAATCATTTCCCTTGAACTTTTTTAAATTCCATAACGTATTTTTCGAATTTTTTTGGTTTTTACAATAAAAACTCTTTTTCACCCCTTCACTTGATCACATGGCTTTGCCTGCACGTGATAACATTAACGCGTCTTTTGAAGTTAAAATTATTTCGTAACGTTTATTTGGTTCGTATAAATGTAGCAATACGATTCCGCTGCAAGGAAATTGGCTAAAGTTAAAAAAAAGAAAAAAAAAATTGACCCTGATGATGAACGATGATGTTCGAAAGTACTCGGTTGTCTTTTGGAAAATATATATATATATATATATATATATATATATATATATATATATATCAATATAATTTTGAAATAAAAAGTCTCATTCAAATAAGAAAATACAAAAGAAAATCAGCAGGACTATGTTGTCTTTGGCGTTTTAATACAACGTGTTTAAGAGGGGTATGCTGCCTAAATACACACACACACACACACACACACACACACACACATATATATATATATATATATATATATATATATATATGTGTGTGTCAGAATTAATCGGTATCCTCCAAGCAGAGTAGTAAAGTGACTGGTCTGCACCAGGTTACAGGGTATAGAGGAATTAGGAACAGAAACATTAATGCGTAGAAAGAGAAAAAAGCAGTAAGAGGACACTAGATAGCGATTGACATAGAATTTAAATTTTTATAGATTAAAGTTGGTTAGAAAGCATGGAGCAGGTAGGGTGTTCCACCATCAATAAGTGTGTGAAAGGAAATTGTTAGCATAGAAGTTACGGCTGCATCTAGACAGATTATCTGTACATTGATGAAACCTTGCTGCTAATCTAGTACTGCGCGTAAATTAAATAATATTGGTACCATCTCGAAGAGACATATTTATTTCCGCTTATTTACAGACATTGTGGACCAAGGCCAAAAGATGAGGAATGGGGAAGAGAATGGTCTTCTTCTGTCCTACAAAAAGTGGCACAAGGCCAAAAAAAAAGGGAATGGGAAAAGGACGGTTTTAACACTAAACTTAGCTAACCATAAACACTGAACCAAACATGCAACAATAAACCAAAACAATGCATTCTTGCTTATCTTGCTTTCTACATTCACCATAATACCTCATTGTCTCCATGAAAGTCCTAACTAGACCCCATATATGTTGTTTATGGGAGAGGGAAAAATTTGTTTAAGATAATCGCCTTTGCCTTCAACCACGATCTCCAGAGGACTTCGGAATCTGCTGCAACTCTTCAGGACAGTTTCCTTGTTTAAGTTTGTGAATAGCTGCCATAATTCTTGCCTTCAGTTCATCTTCGGTGTTACAAGGAGGTTTTTGGTGTCTCGATCAACTGCGTCTCACACATAATAAACAAGGAGGTTGCCGTATGGAGAGTTAGGTAGACAGATGGAAGGGGGATATGTGGTTAAAGAAATTATCTGATAGCCATAACAGGGCTCTTCTGCTTGTATGTCATGGTTCAGAGTCCTGTTGGCAGATATAGGGTCTTCTAACAGCCACCCTCTTGACCCAGGGTAGCACTACCTACTCAAAACACTTGGTGTAGGCCTGCGTGTTTAGTCTGAGGCCCAGTGGGAGGCATAATGTTGCAATAACTAGTGATCACTCCAAACACCATAGTAACCACTATTGGTCTAATGGTGATTCATAGTACAGCTTCCGGCACGAATGCCAAGCAGTACATCATACCGTTCCAAATTTCTGGTGAAATGAATTGCGACTTGGCGCTCTTCTTCTCACAGATGGTGCCCAGCTGACCCTATTATACTGTGCAGTGGACTAAATTGCAAACAAACAAGGCGAAATTAAAAATATAAAATAACGTCATAGCACCATATATATATATATATATATATATATATATATATATATATACACGCTTGAGGCAATCAGATATCTAGCCACATTGATGAGCTCTGAAACAGCGATACAGTCTGTCTGTTGATAACAATATATTCATGCTCCCAAAGAATATAAAATTATTTCGGTAGAGCTCTCGGTGAGAAAAGTGAATTTGTAAACAGTGACTATAACTGCTGCTGATGCAAGGCTCTTCGTTAAAACGAATCGAGTTTTCCCAGTCACTGGCATGTTTATCTAAAAATAAATACGTCACAATTCATCTCTGCCGTAAGCCAATAGCTTAAGGGTACAGGACTCCGACTGACACCAAATCAGTCGCGTTTCGATCCCGAAACGGCGAAACAGTCTGTCTGTGGATGAATATATATATATATATATATATATATATATATATATGTGTGTGTGTGTGTGTGTGTGTGTGTGTGTGTGTGTGTGTTTCTTGCTGCACGTGCCTGTCGTTCTTGGTATAATTACTTCGTCCATTTCTAAGGCCACATAAAAGCATATAAATAAAAATGTTGAAGTTACAACAATAAAAACCTCTAAAATATAACAAAAGTCAAAGAGAAAATGACGCTTTTGATCTACCGTAGGAATGTCTTCAGTTGGAGGTAGGACGCATGCGCCACTTTACGGTAGAAAATGTTTCCAGTATGAAGATTCTATTGTGTAGTCAAGATGGCGACATTATTCGCTTCGAATATCATCGTTGCAGTTTTTCTCATGTCATCTGCTTCCATAATATTTTGTTTTTTTTACTTATTTTACTTCTCATTCGTAACACTTACATCAAAGTCGAATCGTTATAATTTCTATCCTTCTTTTCTTCTTTTACATTCTTTTGCTTTTCTGGACTTACTACTTCTTCTTCTCGACATCTTCTTTGTATTTTTTCATTTAAATTCATTGTTTTGCTGGTCTTCATATTTTTTTCTTCTTTGTTTTTTTCTTTTTTGTTTTATTTCTATTGTAGTATTTCACGTCTTCATATTTCTTCTTCTTTTTCTTATTCTTCCTCCTTTTCTTCTTCTTCTTCTTACTTTCTTTTCTTCTTTTGCTTCCTTTTCGATTTCCTTTCCCTTTTCTTCCTTTTCTTCTGCTTTTTCTTCTTCTTCTTCTTCTTCCTTTTATTAATCAAATTCTTCTTTTCTTTTTCCTTTTCTTCTTTTCTTTTTCCTTTTTTATTATGCTTCCTTTCTTTATTCTGGTACCTTCTACTTTTTTTTTTTCTTCTTTTTCTTATCCTTCTTCTTTCTGTTCTTCTTCCTTTTTTCTACTTCTTTTTTCTTCCTTTTCTTCTTCTTCCTTTTCTTCTTCTTTTATGTTTTCTTATTCTACTTCTTTTTTATCCTTATTCTTCTTCCTCTTCTTTCATTTTCTTTCTTGTTTCTTGTTTCTTGTTTCTTGCTTTCTTTCTTCCATTTATTTTTCCTTTTGTCCTGTTTATTTTTCATCTTCCCACTTCATTGTTTTCTTTCTTTTTTGCACTGTTTCACTTTCTTTTTCTTTTTTCTTTGTTTCTTTCACTTTATTTTTCTTTCTTTCTTTTTCTTATTTCATATTTCTTTCTTTTATTTTTCTTTCTTTTTTCTTTCTTTCTTTCTTTCATTTACTTTTTACTTTTGTCCTATTTATCTTTCATCTTCCCCAATTCGTTTCTTTCTTTCTTTTTTGAAGTTTCTTTCTTTCTTTCTTTCTTTTTTCTTTCTTTCTTTCTATTCGCACCCTTTCTTTCTTTCTTTTTGCCTATTCTATATTTCTTGCATTTGTTTTACTCCTCTCTCTCTTATATTATTCTTTCTTTCTCGATTTCTTACTTTCATTTCTTTTTCTTTTTCCTTTCTTTCTTTCTTTCTTTCTTTCTTTTTTCTTTCTTTCATTCATTTCATTTTCCTGGTTATCTTTCATCTTTTTCCTCTCTTCATTTCTTAATTTAATTCTGTCTTTCTTTCACTCATTCTTTCTTTTACTTCACTTTCTTTCTTTCTTTCTTTCTTTCTTTCTTTCTTTCTTTCTTTCTTTCTATTCGCACCCTTTCTTTCTTCTTGTTGCCCATTTCATATTTCTATATTTCGTTTTTTCTCCTTTTTTCTTTCTTTCTTTTTTTCTTTCCTCGTCTTCTCATATTTTATTTTTCTTTTCTTTATTTATTTCATACTTCTTTCTTTTGTTTTTCCTCGTTTATTTATTCTTTTTTTTTTCGTACGTCCTTTTTATCTCGCCTCTTTTCTCTCTTCGTTTTCGCTTTCATTTTTTACTCTTCCATTCTTTTTCGACATTCTTTGTTTGTTTGTTTGTTCCTTTCTTTCATTCTTTCTTTCTTTCTTGTCGTTGCTTATTTTCTTTTTTATTCCTTTGGTTCTTCTTTTGTCCATATTTCTTTCCCTTTTTCGTTTACCTTTTTTTATAAATTGTTACTTTTTTCCCTTTTTTCGTCATTTTTATTTTCTTTTATTTCCGCTTCTTCCTTTCTTATTTATTTCCCTTCCTTTGTTTTCCTTCCTTCCTTCCTTCCTTCCTTCCTTCCTAACTTGCTTCCTTCCTTCCCTTCCTTCCTTCCTTCCTTCCTTTCTAAATTCCTTCCCCCTTCCTTCCTTCCTTCCTTTCTTCCTTCCTCCCTTCCTTCCTTCCTTTCTTCCTTCCTTCCTTCCTTCCTTCCTTCCTTGCTTCCTACCTACCTACCTACCTACCTACCTTCCTTCCTTCCAACCTTCCTTTCTACATTCCTTCCTTCCTTCCTTCCTTTCTACCTTCCTTCCTTCCTCCCTTCCTTCCTTTTCAAATTCCTTCCCCTTCCTTCCTTCCCTTCCTTCTTCCTTCCCTCCTTCCTTCCTTTTCTGCATTCCTTCTTTCCTTCCTTCCTTCCTTCCTTTTACCTTCTTCCTTCCCTTCCTTCAACCTTCCTTTCTACATTCCTTCCTTTATTCCCTTCCTTCCTTCCTTCCTCCATCCTTCCCTTCCTTCCCACCTTCCTAAACCCCTTCCTTCCTTCCTTCCTTTCCTTCCTACCCTACCTACCTACCTTCCTTCCTTCCTTCCTTCCCTTCCTTTCCTTCCTTTCCCCCTTCCTTGCTTCCTTCCTTCTTTTTTCCTTCCTTCCTTCCTTCCTACCTTCCTTCCTTCCTTCCTATCTTCCTTCCTTCCTCCTTCCTTCCTTCCTTCCTTCCTTCCTTCCTACCTTCCTTCCTTCCTTCCCATCTTCCTTCCTTCCTTCCTTCCTTCCCACCTCCTTCCCTTCCTTCCCCATCTTCCTTCCTTCCTTCCTTCCTTCCTTCCTACCTTTCCTTCCTTCCTTTCTTCCTTCCTTCCTTCCCCTTCCTTCCCTACCTACCTACCTTCCTTCCTATCTTCCTTCCCTACCTACCTACCTACCTTCCTTCCTTCCTTCCTTCCTTCCTTCCTTCCTTCCTATCTTCCTTTTTACCTTCCTTTCTACATTCCTTCCTTCCTTTTCGATACTTATTTCATATATCTCTCTTTATATCTTCTGTTATCATATTTCTGCCCATTTTTCCTTCCTTTCCCCCCGCCCTCTTCAACCCTCCTTCTGGTTTTTTCTCCCCCTTTACACCCCTGACCCCAATCTATCCCACTCTTGCTTACATTCTCGGCACGCTTTTCTCTTTCTCTTCTTGACGTAGACATTGCATATTTTTTACAATTCAATGACCAACACAGACCAAACCAGACACTCAACAGAAAACCGTAAAATAAGCAGAAACGACTCGAAATACACCAAAGCAAATACGATCGACATAATTATAAATAGCTGAGTGTGTTCTTTTTGTAGAAACCCAAATAACTTTTACTTACGGGTAGATACCAAAACGATTTCTCTTGCAGCCGACTGCACACCCCTGTCCATGTGTGGAATTGTACACATTGCGTGTCTGGGTCGTGGTGGGGAGGACAGTTTCGTGCCTGTTATTTGCAAGTTCAGTGAGAATACACGCGAAAACGTCCGTCGAAAGATCTCTATCTCCCGATGCTGCCAGATTGGTAAGTTAGGTTTGACTCTTTTGCGAAGAAAATAACGAGCAGAAAATCATTTTTTTATTTAATTTCTAAGGTGAGACAATAACGGTATTTCTTTTAAAGTATTAATTTGCTGATATGTAAAACCTTGTACATCTGAAAATATTCGAATGAGGAAATATATATATATATATATATATATATATATATATATATGTATGTATAAGTAAGCAAAATCTTGGTAATCCATATGGATAATCCCAAGGAGGATGAAATCCGGAGAGCTCAATGTTAAGTCAGATCGAATAATTTAATTTAAAGAAAAAAACAGACCACTTTAAGGTTCCATTGTTATAATTTATTTCACAACAGATTTTATTTTTCGCTGGATCTTCAGACTTCACATTCAAGGGTGAAATATATATATGTATATATATATATATATATATATATATATATATATATATATATATTGGAGTGGTCATGTCTTGAGAATGTCTGATGACAGGATACCCAAGATCCTAATGTACAGCCAGTTAGATTAGGAATGTAGGACGCCCATGTCTAAGATACAAAGACAAGCTGAAGAGCAGCTTGTCACCTGTCATTATATCTCATAACACCCTCGAACGCTTAGCCTTGGAGCTGGTAGAATGCAGACCAACGTGTTTTAGTGAACTTAGCAGTTTTCAATCTGCTAATCTGAATCGTCTTCAAGAAGCGAGAGCAAGATCTGACAGAGCAGCCAATCTAACTATGATCTCATCCCACAGTCCTCACTCTTGCTCCATAGGCGGCCTCATTTGTAAATCACTAGCGGGTGTTAAGTGCCAGTTAAGATTATCGCACAAAATTTCATAACTGAATCAATTGTTTGAGATGACAGATCCTCATACATCAAAACGGTTCCCCGATCGTTCTCTCTCTCTCGCTCTCTAAATATATATATATATATATATATATATATATATGTGTGTGTGTGTGTGTGTGTGTGTGTGTGTGTGTGTGTGTGTGTGTGAGAGAGAGAGAGAGAGAGAGAGAGAGAGATGAGGGTACGTGGCAGAGTGGTTAGAACGTTCTGATAATAAGACACGGGTTCGAATCTCACCACCAACGATTTGACAGGCAGGTGATTTCTTGAGGTTACTGATCTGGGGAGGCGATCCCTGCATGTGGAACATTTAATATCTAGATAATTCCTAAATACCTTTAATTTTATAAGCATTTACTTGATTCAAGGATAGGTAAATATTTGTCTTTTATAATTGAATCTATAAGCAATTACCTGTTAAATATATCTTAATACAAATGGGCAAAGTGGTTAGAGCGTCCGCATTCTGAGCATGAGACCCGGGTTCGAATCTCACCATGGTCGCTTTGTCAGGAAGGAGACTGTCGGATGGTTTCAGACCGGAGGGACGATCCCAGTGTGCGCAAAGTTTGGAAAGTCTGAAAAACCATACCATTGTTTGACCAAAACTTTATGAGTGAAACTAGGAAGACAGAATTTTAGGGGAGCCGTCGATGTTTGTTTTAGTAAATCACTGTGACCGACGGTTTGATCGTTTTAGCCTTGTTCAGACTGCTGATCATACTAGATAACGCTCTCCCTCCCAGAAACAGTGACTAAGGTCCGCTCAGCATAGTTTCAATAAAAAAAATAGAGCAGGTAGGCTTCGTAGGTGTTGAATAAACACAAATGTGCCTGAGAAGGCATCTGCAGCAGCGTTTGGCTAGCCGCCCTCGGAAACGAGGGGCCAGCCATGTATTTAGGTACTTACAAAAACAATGAAAATTATTGATGCGTACAAACAAGGTCATGGATGTACAACACTTTCCAAGGATGTAAAGGATTCTAGATCGACAATTCATAGCATTATAAAGAAGTACAACGAGGCTCATTGTGTTGATAATAAATTTAGGACAGGCGAAAAGGGTTAAAAATCTGAGATAATGATAAGGAAAAAGAGACGTCTAGAAGAATCCTCACTTGACGACAAAAAACATTGTCAATAATGTAAAGGCATCAGGGTTGGATGTGTCGACAGTCACTAGATGCTTTTATCAAGCAGGTATTTGTTCTTGTCATCCAAGGAAAACTTCCTTCCTTAAGGCTAAACACCTAAAATTCAGATTAGTTTGTAAGATTAGTAACATGAACTTATGTATGGAGGAAAGTGAATGAAGCTCTCAAAAAAGAAGTCCCGAATGATGATAGTTGATGCGTACAAACAAGGTGATGGATATAAAAAGGGAAATGTTTTATATCCATCACCTTCTTTAAATGTTCCTAGCTCGACAATTCGTAGCATTATCAAGAAGTCCAACGAGTCTCATTGTATTGAGATTGAATTAAAGACTGGCAGAAAATGGTTAATTTCTGAGAGAATGGAAAAGAAAATAATTAGAGGTATCTCAAAGAATCCTCACTTGAAGACAAAGGTGATTGTCAGTGGTATAAAAACGTCGGAGTTGAATGTATCAATGAAGATAGTCACTAGATGCTTTCATCAAGCAGAACTTCGATCTTGTCGCCCAAGGAAAAGTCCCTTTCTTAAGGATAAACAATTAATATACAGAATAGCTTATTCTAAAAGCCATCTAGAACATGGGAGTAAATAAAATTGGATCTCTGTTTTATGGTCAGATGAAACCAAACTAGAATTATTTGTTTACATTAATTCCCTTTATCTATGGAGAAAAATTGATGTAGCCCAAAATTATTCTCCCTGCTCTCCTTATAGAAATTTTAAAATAATATGGTAAATATAATGATTTTCCTTAATTTGACATTTAATACTAACACCCTTTGAAAATGAAATAGTATTGACCTGTTTCTATAACATTCTAAAAGGCAATGAAGACAATATATGAATGCCACGTACTGCGATGACTCAGTCGTTCTGCAACAATGGACAAGCCGGCTAAAGTTGAAAAGAAGCCCAGAATGAAGATAGTTGATGTGTACAAAGAAGGTGATGGATATACAACACTTTCCAAGAGTTTAAATGTTCCGAGATCGACAATTCGTAGAATTATCAAGAAGTACAACGAGGCTCATTGTATTGAGAACAAATTAGGGACTGGCAGTAAAATATTTATTTCTGAGAGAATGGAAAGGACAATCGATAGAGATGTCCCGAAGAATCCTCACTTGATGACAATTGACATTGTCAATGATGTAAAGGCATCAGGATTGACTCTATCGATGATGACAGTCACTAGATGCTTTCATCGAGCAGGACTTCGAGCTTGTCACCCAAGGAAAACTACCTTGCTTAAGGCTAAACACCTAAAATGCAGATTAGCATATTCTAGAAGCCATCTAGAACATGAGAGTAAATATTGGAATCCTGTTTTATGGTCAGATGAAACCAAACTAGAATTATTTTGTCACATGAACTTATGTATGGAGGAAAGTGAAGTAAAAAAAAT